ATTATCAAGGGTTCATGAAAGAGGGGGAGGGGGAGGGAGGGGGGGAAATGAGGAGATGAAGCCAGGGGCTTACATGGAGAACAAATGTTTTGAGAATGTACAATGAATGTACAAATGTGCTTTACACAATGGATGTATGTATGGATTGTGATAAGAGTTGTATGAGCCCCCAATAAAATGATTAAAAAAGAAAAAGAAGAAAAAGGAGCCTTCCTAAATTTACCGTCTTGGAGACAAAGTCATGCAAGCGCATTCCTCCATTACTCTGGGGCGTGCTGGCACTGTCTGTCTCAGTTCTGGGCTCCGGCGGCCGGCTGCTCAGGGTGGAGTCACTATTCCAAGGTTGTAAAGCACCTACAAATCAAGGAGCCTTAAGCTTTGTGTCTCAAGTATTGGGTTCCTTCTGAACCCTAACCCATATTTTAATCAGTAGATAAGCAATATTTGTATGACCATAACCAAAGGTAAGTAGCAACAACCATGCAAACCCCCCCGCCCCCCCAAAACCCAGGAGTTTCATACTAAGTTACTACATAGGTAAAGCCAAGGATATCAATTCCAAGGTAAAGCATGACACAAATAGTTCCCCGGTCCTTACTAAACAGGTGAAAGAAACTACTTAATACATAGAATCCCTGGATCCTTCTTTCTAAGAAACCAATCCCCCCACATTTCAGCAATTGTTGTACACAAACAATTACCACAAAGCCAACAGACCTGTTTTCCTTCGGCTCCTGGTCCAATAGGGCACAGTCTCTATAGTGGACACAGCTTCAATAGGCCCACCATCATTGGGAACAGTTACTGTAGTCTTTGCAACTATGGATTCATTCCCCTGAAACAAAAGTAGCCATGAAGGGCAAGCAAACATCAAGAATCAAACTTCTTCCTCGATTACCAGGTATGTTGGAATGGTTGAAAAATTCCTGGGTCATGGTCAGGACTTAGGACACACAGGGGTAATTTTTACTTAAACGACTGACAAAAATTCATATAGACCTTTATTAAACAAAATGATCACAATGTGATGCTATTGTTTCTCAGCATAGCCTTCATCTAGGTCTATACACTTCTGAACACAGTGTTTCCACCTCCCTAGTTCTTCCCAGAAGAATTCTGTGTTTTTCAAAATGGCAATTGTGGCATCCTTGGAGGGGACTCAAATCGTGTTCCTTTTCGTTGTTGAGTTTAGAGGCCAAAAAGAAGTCTACAAGGAACAAGATTAAGACAACAGGAGGCTGGGCTAGGATTTCCCAGGGAAATTCTCCTAGGACAGCCCTTCTAGTCATGATGCCATGTGTGACGTATTATAGTTCTGGGCTGTAGTCCCATTCTGGAGGGCATGCTCTACTATACTAGTGGACAAGATCACAGGGGGATAAAACTCCACCTTAGCAGAGGGTGTCACTTAACACACCGTCCCTTCTTTTCCTTGGATGGGGACTATACACTGGTGCCCCATACAGCTCTAACACACCTCACCTCACCTGGAAAGCCAGACCTCTATTTCCTGACTGAGCTGTGGGAGAAGCAAGAATACCGGCTCTGACTTTGGGGCATTTTTTGGTTGCTGGCTCTGGACCATTTGGGTCCATTTGGCTTGCCTCCACCTGAGTTTCAGAGTTGGGATTGCAGAACAACAACACCCCACCACCACCACCACCCCACCCCTGTGAGCTATTGCCTTAGTTTCCTGTTTCTGTGGGATGCTGCAGCAAACACAAAACCCAGGGGTGTGAGGAGCTACACACACTTAAGGGAGTGGGGAG